TTGTGAAAATACAGTGGGAATCTAAAAACTAGATTCTCAACGTTGAGAAGAAAAATGCTGATTTTACTCTTAAGGTTTCAAGCAGCGACCATCTTACTTTCTTGTATTTGCACCTTGTCATTAGCTAATCTCACCTTCTTTATGTGCATTTCATCTTGTTGACCACATTTGATCTCGGGCCAACTCATCATACACTTTAGCACTTCACCACTGCAATTTAGAGCTCATGGACCCCTTACGTTGCAATGGTTTCTCCAGGTTGCTCAGTGCAGGGTCATATACCATCTCACTTACACAGGATGCATTTTATGACTCACAGCTTGCTTTCTCAGAACTAACTTATTTTGTGCTACTTTGACACTCCCTGATTATCTGTCTTGCCTTGCTTTTTAGCAGAGACAGAAAGACAGGTCGTTTTTTGCAGTCACTAGAATTGAACAGCCAAGGGGTGGACTCGTTGCTTTGTTAATGTTGCACTGACATCATGAGTGGCCAACACACTGCATGTGCTTCTGCTAAATGGCTAAGTTCAAAAGTCCAAGATGGTTCAGTTCTTAGAGAAGGGTGACTACAGTCAGCTGGGGGGAAGGGGGATGGTGGTGTGCAATACTCAATCAATGGTATTATCCAATTGTAAACCCAGGGGTTGGCTATAGTCAGTCAGGCTCTTGTTGCAGCCTGGGGCCTGGGGAATGTATTGATTATGAATCATAGAATGCCTACAGTGTGGAAACAGGCCTTTTGACCGAGCGAGTCCGTAACAATCCTCCGAAGACCATCCCATCCAGATCCATGCCCCCAAGCATTTCCCATGGTTAATCCACCTAACCTACACATCCCTGGACACTATGGACAATTTAAGCATGGCTAATTTACCTAACGTGCAAACTCCACACAGACATTCGCTTGAGGGTGGAGTAGAAACCAAGTCCCTGGTGCTGTGGGGCAGTAGTGCTAACCAATGAGACACTGTGTCACCCTTCGTCTTGCAGTCTGGGTAATGGGCCCTGGTCTAGTCCAACCCATCCAGGAACTGCATGTAAATAGCCTGCTGAAACACCGGAAGAGTTCAGCACATTACAATATTGCCAGTATTCCAGCCGTACTTCTACATTTTAGCACTGCATGGTGTTACGCATTCTGGATTTGGTACCTGCATTTCTCACTATCTAGCCTACTGCATTCACTGCTCACAATGTGGAGTCCTCTACATTTGGGAAATGAAGCATAGACTGGATGAACGTTTCGCAGCACACCTACGTTCTGTCTGCAAAAAAGACCCTGAACTTCCAATTGCCTGCCACTTAACACATCACTTTGTTCCCTGGCCAACATCTCTGTCTCAGGCTTGCTGTAGTGCTCTAGTGAAGCTCAGCGCAAGCCGGAAGAACAGCACCTCAATTTCTGCTTGGGAACGCTACAGCCTTCTGGACTCAATATTGTGTTCAACAGTTTTAGGGTTTGAGTTCTCTCATGTCCTTACCCTAACCCCCACACATCAGGCCTTGTTATCACAAAGTCTGCTATTACACACAACCCATTGTTAGCCACTAACTGTCCCCATCAGCAATCATTCATTCTTCCAGGCTGACTGTTATCCACTCCTTTGCCTGTCCAACTGTTCTTCTCTCTCTTTTTGTTCTATTTCCACCTATCGTTTACACCTTGCCCCTCCCCCACCTTATCTTCTGCATAAAAACCAATCTTTTCCTAGCTACCATCAGTTATGTAGAAGGGTCACTGGAACCGAAATGTTAACTCTGATTTCTCACCACAGGCACTGCTGTGCTTTTCCTGCAATTTCTGTTTTTGGTTCTATTAATGTAGGAGCTGGAGATGACCATGAGCTGGGCCAGCAGGAACATGGTGCTTGCTTGCTAAATTAATGAGATCAGAATGACTCTATGAAATTCCTGGCTCATGATAACAATCAGAAGCCTCACCCTGCATCAATACAATGAGGATCATGCCATTAGTATAGCTAGCATGGAGCATATTACTGGCAGAGTGAAACAACACTTCCCTCATTTAATAAATCAACTTCACAGCTCACCAAAGATGAACAGAAAATCATCACCATCTTCTGCATACTTCAAAATGGCACAATCCAAAACAGCATCAGCATACAAGTGGATGAGGACAACCAAAGACTTTCAGACTGCCAAGATTATGACTATCTATATAGAGAACTGGTGTTCCAATAAGCTGCGTACAAGAACTCCAATTATGTTTGAAGAAGTAACATTCACTAGGCCATAGGTTATTATCTACACTAATTCCATTCCCCTGCACTTTCTTAGTACACCTTCATTTCTGCTGTTTCAAAAACACTTGAAACTTGAGTTAGTTCTCGTGGCCTCAGCGACCAATAATGGTAAAGTATTCTGTACTATGGTAACCCCCATTGAAAAGAATTTGAATTGGCCTCTTTGTGCTTCAGGTGAGTAACCTGCTGGAGACCCCATGTTACTAATTTGCCATAACAAGGTGCAGGGCTGGATGGACACAGCAGGCCAAGCAGCATCGTAGGAGCAGGAAGGCTGACGGTTCGGGCCCAGACCCTTCATCAGAAATGGGGGAGGGGAAGGGGTTTCTGAAATAAATAGGGAGAGAGGGGGAGGCGGATAGAAGATGGATAGAGGAGAAGATAGGTGAAGGGGAAACAGACAGGTCGAAGAGGCGGGGATGGAGCCAGTAAAGGTGAGTGTAGGTGGGGAGGTAGGGAGGAGATAGGTCAGTCCAGGGAGGACGGACAGGTCAAGGGGGCTA